CTGGGGAAACTACTGGTTCTGATTATATTCTCCACTATTCTATTTGCAATTTTGTCGCTGTTTCTCTTAAGCAATCTGTAGCCATAGTCAGGACTGGGCAAATTATTTTCAAACTTTTATGTTGTACACCTCATTATTATCGTAATATATATTAGCTTGCCATGCAGACGTTGTTTTGCACGTTCGGACGACTTTGTTTTATCCTGTAAAAAATCCTTATATTTGCAATGAAAAAATATTAGAGATCGCTTATCGGCATGAAACTATCATATCTCTCAAGTTGGAGCAAGAAATATTAACAAAATTTCATTAAAATCAGTTCAGCGGTTTCGGAGATAAGCGTGAACCATCATCGTGGCACGGGATTTGTCTATATTAATATTTCAGATTCATTGTATGCGTGGAATAATCGCACTCATCGCATTTATTTATATTAGCTATCAAATAGGCCTCTAAGAGCCGTGGTAGCTCATAAGAAACAGAAACAGAAACTTTTTTATTCAATATAGATTATAAATAATACTTATTGAAAGTCACTCTTTTGTTTGATTACCACTGGTTCGGAAAAAACCTCTGTCCTGGGAAGAACCAGCAAGAAACCCAGCGGGACCTCTCTCCAAATAACAGCTTACAATCATGATGCTACACAAATTAACAACACAACAAATTAGAAATAGCTTGGTAGCGATCACCTCATTTCCAGGGGCTACTATCATCCATAAATTCCTTAATATTACAATAACCCTTTTTATACAAACTTAGTTTAATAAAGTTTTTGAACTTTGAGCAGGTCAAACTTTGTATATTTTCTGGAATTTTGTTGTAAAAGCGTATACATCGCCTCGATGGAGTCGAGTAACTGGTACTACTAGCTTGTGTCTGTTCCTAGTATTTACAGAATGAATATCACTTATTTTTGTAAAACTACTTTTATTTTTGTGTATGTTTAGCGCTCGCTGTTAATTTCACAGTACGCGAGCAACACGGGTTCGATCCCCGCCGGTACCAATAAAATTGTTAATTACAATTTTAAGTGCTGATTTACCACGTGCTCGAGGATAAAGGAAACCACCGTAAATATTTTGGAGAAATGTGAAGTTCGCCATCAAGCACTGGGACAGCGCGGCGGACACTTTCTTGCCCTAATACCCTCTCAAAAATGAGAGGAGGCCTGTGCCCAGCAGTGGGACGTATAAGGTTTTAACTTTAACTTTAAATATGTCTCAGTTTTTTCTGCTAGTGTCATCTAGCATCCATGTTTTTTCATTATTCTTCAGTTATTCTGGTGCTGTGTCGGTATAGAATGTGTATTTTTTTTTTTACTGCCCTAAGTATCTACACCATTAGGTGCCTCTAACTTTTTTGCGTCTTTATAATTAATTCATATTTTGTAAATTTCTTATTTGTCCATAGTTTGTACCCTCGTGTCATCGGCGATTCTCCGGTAAAAATATGGAATGAAGATCAAGATTACTCACTTATATTCAATTATATAACACAATCCTATTCACCCCTCACAGGATTGTATTGAAACCAATTTTCAAAGTTTTTGTCAACGATTTGGTTTTAAGAAAATTTTCTCAAATGATAAAGAATATCAACTTATTTCTAATGAAAGAACAGCCTGTTATGACGCCTGAGTATAACACAACTTTGCCGTTCTTGCTACACTTTTTCACTTGACGCTGTCGAAGTTTAAACGACTAAAATTTTGACGGGCTTCACAGCCTTGGAATAAACAAAACATTTCTATCAAAGTCAACCAGTTTCGAAATTTGTTTAGTTTCGATTTTGAATTAAAAATGACATATAGATCGATCGATATATACAGGAAAACAAGACGTACAAACAAATTATTTATTCGACTCGTGATTTTTATTCACTCCATTCTATGATATTTACAAGTCTTAAAAATAAGGGATAATAATAAATAATAATAATAATAATGCATAAGGACCCTTTCCGAGGCTAAAACATACCGATACCTGGGTATGTCACAGAACATCGGTGTAGATGAGGCGGGTATGAAACGGTCAGTTTGCGATGTGTTTTATGCACGCTTGACCAAAGTGCTTAACAGCCTTTTGTCCGGTGTGAATAAGATGCACGCATATAACGGTTGGATCATGCCTGTTCTCATGTATACCTTTGGCATACTCAGGTGGACTCAGACCGAACTGAACGCTTTGGACAGAAAATTCCGCACTATTATGACGTCCCACAGGAATCATCATCAGAGATCGTCAGTAATGAGGCTGTACTTGCCGCGGAAACATGGTGGGCGCGGCTTTTTAAGCGCCCTTACCATGCATAATCCCGAAGTGTGCAGCCTCCGTAATTACTTTCTGACGAGAGCGGATGATCCATACTATAGGGACGTTATTTCTTGTTACAAAGGGCTAACCCCTCTATCCTTAGCCAACGAGCAATGGCAAGACCCGACAGTACAGAGAATTTCCGACCGGGAGACCGTATGGAAGGAGAAGGAGCTCCACGTAGAGAACTTCACAAGAGAGAACCTACAAGGCTCTACATGAGCCTTTCGTAGACTCAGTTACCTCCCTCCACTGGCTACGTTTCGGTGACCTCTTTGGGGAAACCGAGGGTTTTGTCTGTGCAATACAGGATCAGGTTATTAAGACCAACAACTATCGGAGATACATCCTAAGGGATGGCTCACGAGGTGACCGACATGTGGGGTGGTCTGACGGCCGAAATTATTCCTGTGGTCGTCTCTGCGAACAGGTTAATCAGCCTCTCGGGTCATCTGAGGCAACTGGGACTCCATGACGGACCGCTCCAAGCTCAAATGCAGAAGGCGGTGCTCCTCGATACCTCCCGCATCGTACGCCGGTTTCTTTCCCTTTCCCTAACCCTCGACCGTTTGGTATCCCCTGCCGAGGGTTTCCATCTCGTTGGGTTTTTATTTATTTATGTATTATTTATTTATTTATGTTAGTATATTAAATATATATATATATATATATATATATACATATATTTACACATAGGTATTTATGTTTATTTATTATTTCCTTAAATATATTTACTCAGACTAACCAAATGAGAATACCATATAAATACCCCATAATAATAATAATAATTTATTGCTTTAAAATAAGTAGTAAGTTGTTACAATATTTGGTGGGATGGCATTTATTTTAACAAAAACACAAAAAACGCATATATATAATATTCCATTTTTTATTTTTTTTATTACTCTTAATAGATTTTATTAATACTCCTAATAGATTCATAAAGTGGGCTAAATAAAGTCTAGTGATTTAAAAGGTAGTAGTAATAAATTTGAGGTTAAAAGCCACATTCCATGCCCATGGTCTTGCTTGTCAAGATGTTAAGTTTTCAAGAATCAACATTTTGGTTTTATTTATAAAATACATACGATTATATTTTTAAATTCTCCAAAGCGTAATGTAGTGCTTTGCTTTATTTCTACTTTAATTTTATAGCCATGATTTATCAATATATAGTTGTATCACGAATAGGTCGCGTATTATCACGGTATCACAGAATATAAGCGTAAAATAGCAGCTTGATTCTGCTGTGTTTCGTATGGTGAGTTTAGAAAACCGAAGACCCTTTTTACTGGAAACGAGGCATTTCATCTCAGTCTTCAGGCGTGACAACGCATCTGAATTTTTAATCTTGATTGAGGATAAATGTAGATGTTTATGAGCCACAACATTCACTACCTATCAGAATTGTGTGCTCGCTTGTCACTCTTATTCATAAAAAACTCATCACCCGTGCGTTAAATATTGCTATGTTATGAAGGGTTGTGTTTCTAATGTTTGGATTTATTTTAATTGTCAATTAATGATTTGTGCGAGAATACTACGTCAATCATTACAAAGTTCTTTGCACTATGTTACAAATATTTTTTAAAGGATCTTAAATTAGCCATTTTACACTAACTCATAGGTTATTTGATCGAATTCATCATCATATTATAAGATAATACGGTGAAGATAACATATGTATTATAATATTTGGTTAATGTGTACAATAAACATCTCATTTTATTGCAGAATAAAATGTAGTGATTATAATATATTAAACTCTTTGGTTCAGAGGTTTATTATTAAATTTTAATGTTTGAAAAGGGTAGCAAATTCTTCAGTCCTCATTACACTACAACCTTAAAGTTAACTAGGAAGTGTTTAGAAAACAAAAATAATTAAGATTTATTTAATTAATTAAGCTTTATTTGCACACCGAGTACAAACACGTTTTTTACGTGGTAGAGCCATGCTGCAGCTATATTATGGTTGTAGCACGAATGGGTCGGCTCGACCGGGGAGGGACCGCGCTCTCACGGAGGACCAGCTTAAAGTAGCAGCTTAACGCTGCTGTGTTTCGTATGGTGAGTGTAGAGAACCGGAGACCCTTTTTACTGGCAAAGAGGCATTCCATCTTAGTCCTCACGGGTGACAACGCATCTGCATCTTGAGTCTTTATTGAGGATAGATGTAGATGTGTATGGGTCACAGTAACCACTTACCATCAGGTGGACTGTGTGCTCGTTGGTCACCTGTTCCTATAAAAAAAAAAAACAATTGGTGTTTATAATAACTTTATGCATAAATCAGAAATATAAAAATGACACCTTAAAAAAAGTTTACATACCGAATGACCAAACGGAGGGCTTGTGACTAACTTTTTTTTCATTTAGTTTTACTAATGATAGTATTGCAATATATAAAACAGACCATGTAATGACGGTGTAAGAATATCCACTGCCCCATATCGTTCCGTGGGTGTCGTAAGAGGTGAGAGAGGGAAATTATAACAGAAGATGTACATCAGCATTTTCTTAATAATAACTCAAAATATTAAAAAAAAATGATGTTGCCAATCTACCTGTCAAGCGTGGCAACTTCAACCTATCTATGGTAGTGGCCTATGTTCAGCAATGGACTTTCATAGGCTGCTATAGAACAAAACGAAAATCGATAAATAAATAAGACAACCTTTATTTTTCATAAATTTAATATAAGGCCCTTCATATTGGAGTAGGTGCCAGCTATAAATAATAATATTCCTACAAATATAACGAATAAATTTTTCCATAATCGCCATTTATACCGTCCGAGACCTGGATCCTCCCAAACCACAAGGAGTTCTATTAACGCCGGGAATATAAAGCCCATGTTTGACAGACAAAATGCGCCCAGCTGTAAAATAAATAAGAGTATTTATAAAATTTACAATCACAGAAATTTCTTCTTCTTGGTAATCATATCGTAAAGTCTGTGCTAGACATGGGTCTCCGCCATATTAAGTAAAATTACAATTTAAAATTTATTATCCATGCTTAGGTTAAACGTGGTAGAGCCACGCTGCAGCTATGTTATGGTTGTGGCACGGTCGGCACGGCCGGAAAATGACTACACTCTCACAGAAGAATATCAGCGTAAAATAGCGATTTAATGATGCTCTGTATCATATGATGAGAGTAAGCGGAGAGTCTTTTTACTGGAAATGAGGCATTCCATCTTATTGCTCAAGGGTGACAACGCATCTGCATTTTGATTCTTAATTGAGGATAAATGCAGATGTCTATGGGCTACAGCATCCACTGACCATCAGGTAGACTGTATGCTTGTTTGTCACCCTTATTCTATAAAAAAGGTTTAATTTCTTATGTTAATTTGTTTAAGTAAGTACTTTTAATTAATTCGTAATATAAGATTGCTAGATTTTGATTTTTCTTTTTTATTATTTTTTATTGTAATAGAAATATGTCCAACAAATGCTCGCTAATATGAGGTACAGACAGAATAAAATTATACTATAACGAAAAATGCAACACTGCTCCAAGCCTTCTTTAAGCCTTCAACATCATGCTGATTATCGCAGCATTTTGTTGCTGCAACGTAATGTATTTGTATATATTGTTATTTATTTTGTTTGCTTTTTTAGTTGTAATATATTTATATTATTAGTGTTATGTGTGACAAATAAGTCATTCATTCATACATGTCATGCCTGGCAGGCTGCTTGACGATTGCATTACTCACATAAAGTAAACAAAACACATTCTGTTTTTAATTTTCTACCGACTTCAAAAAGAAGACGCTACTCAATTCGACTGTATGTTCTTTTTTATGTGTGTTACAACATAACTTTTTTCTGGGTGAACCGGTTTCGATGATTCTTTTTTTATTTGAAAGCTGGTGCTTCTCACGTGGTCCCATATAAATTTGATTAAGGTAAAGTTAATAATTTATATTGAAGTCGGTTGTACAAAATTTTTAATTTTTAATTATGTCATTCTAGCTTGTATAAAAGTAGAATTAGAAAAATATTAAAGTAATCTTACCAAGCCCATCAAGTTTCCAATATTAGGAAACGCTATGGCGATAGAAGTGATGACAACAATAAATATAGCTCTGTAAATTCTCTCCCACAGCCAGTATCTTTTTGGATCGTGCTTCTTGGATAAGTAGAACCATACAAGATTAAAGGGTGCCCAGAAGTTTAGAGCGAATGTAATGAAAATCATGATTGCCATTAAGCATTTAAGTATTGTAGGAAATCTGGAAGTAGAAAAGTTTTAATGCAATTTAGTATTGTTATAAGTTCCTTCTTTAATAACCCGTAAAAAGTCTGCTCCTGAACATGGTCATTTTCATCACATAACACTGTCTTTTAAGTACACCGGGCATTTGATAGTTACTATAGATGATAATTGACATTAAGTATTAACTAACATGGTAGACAATATTGTTTAATTTAATTTTGTTTATTTGTTAATTTTTCTTTTAATTACATTTTTGATATTATGTTTATGTCATGGGATATGATAATGATTGATATTGATATGTTGATTTTTATACAACAAAAAGTTCATAGAAACGAAACAAATTTGCATGGACTTAGTATGTAATACATAGTATTTATTAGTAGCTATCTCATGTAACATACATACTACAAAGCAAATAAATAAATAAATAAACAGGTCTTTCCCAGTGTGCGCCAACGGACTGCAAAGCGGACTGCATGACATTAATGATTGCCCAATACCAATCACGCTTGGCAGATGGATTGTTGAGTCGATTCTGCTCCCCAAAAGATTTGGGTTTCAGCGGTATATGGTGCAATTTGTGTTGTTTGATGCATTCAATTGGCGCCATTTGTTGTTTGGCGTATTTATTTGGCGCATTCATTTGTCAAAATTTGTTTTTTATTGCATTCATTTGTCACCGGTGAGTTTGGTATTGAGGTAAGCAGTTAACATATCCCTAAGACACCTCATTCGAAAGAGATTATTAAATATAATTTGGCATTTACAATTTTTCCAGTGGCAGCCTCGTACCGCAAGGCGAAGTGTATCCCCCACTAGATGGTGTGCCGACTTGGTAAGTGATGCAGGAAGTCGATGGGTGTAGGTGGCTCAGGACCGTGCTTTGTGGTATTCCTTGGGGGAGGCCTATGTTCAGCAGTGGACTTATGAATGACTGTAATGATGAATGATGATTTACAATTTTTATTAACAAAATATTCCAATATAACTATTAGGTTTGGTTTATTAAAAAAAAATACCATTACACTTACATTTCGGAAGGAAAGTTCAGTGTTACGGGAGATATTGAATGTTCGCCGAATCCCCAGTAACCAAAAAATCCAACTAGAATTAGGAACGAAACAACCACACTCATACCTGTAAGAATAATAAGTTATTTTATATTCTAAAATTCACATATTCAAGGGCTATTTTGCAACAACCGGCCAAATTTCCAGAGAAGGTTCAGAATAAGTAACATAGACAAATCACGGAGAAAAATTAATTAAAAAAATCTCAATCATTCTATTTCTGTCCTTTTTAGCTTTTAAGTTCAAAATGCGTGGTAATGCATTCTTTTAACTGATTTTACTGCGCACGCACACATTCGTAATGGTTGATCGGTAAGCAAAATTGTTGTTGCCCATAAATCACATTCAATTTGGGATAATTACAAATAAAAGTAGAAGCCTTATTTACTTGTATTTTCAAAACCTGTAATAACGGTATATCATTATTTAGATATTTGATTTCAAAAATAACCCTGTATATTTTTCATTGACTGCTTCGTTTATCTATTCACTAGACCAACGAATAAGTCGATGAAGCCGAGTATAGAACCACTAGACTCTAGTGGTTCTAAAGTCGGGTCGGGTCAAATATCAGTTACTGTTTTTTTTTTCTGTGAAGTAATTCTCAGTAGCAGGTCGGAGTCAGTAACGTTGAAGTATTTCACCCCATGCCTCGAAAAACACTGTTTTTTTTTTATAGGATAAGGGTGACAAACGAGCACACAGTCCACCTGATGGTAAGTGGTTGCTGCGGCCCATAGACTTCTACATCTATCCTCCATTACAAATCAAAATGTAGATGCGTTGTCACCCGTGAGGACCAAGATGGAATGCCTCATTTCCAGTAAAAAGGGCCTCCGGCCACCTGAACTCACCAAGCGAAACGCAGAGGTAAACCTCTACTTCACGCTGGTTTTCTGCGAGGTCAAAAGCTGCCGCATAGCTCTACCACTGATAAGACTGGTCTGGTCGTGTTGGATTATCCGACCGGTCTATGAGAGTATTGTGCTTGCGCACATACATGTGCACTAATTCTATCCTGCGCAGACGGCTAGTCTCCGTTAACACCGCCCGTGATCGAAAATCATTAAACATTACCTAACATTATTATATTTTTACTGTTTTTTTTTGTCAATCTATAACGCCACCATCTGTCCATTACTGGACATTAGTCTATAGGTACCACATACTAGAAAGTATATTCTATAATCAGCACTATTATTTTATTAAATAAATCATCCTTTTTGTAACCAATCGCACGATCGTGTAATTCTAACTCGTAACATAATTCTGTTTTTATTAAATTAAAGCCCACTAAAAAAACCGTAGAACCAATCTGGCAGCGAGATAAGTGTCGCCGACTCCGAGTTTCATCTCGTACCATTAAACGGTAGATAGGTAAGAGAGTGTTACCTATTCTAGGAATACTTTTGGGAAGGTACCACTCTTTACCTATTTCTGTCGTCAAGCAGCTGTGCGCAAACTGCTGGGTTCCGGTATGAAGGGTATAGAGAGTCAGGATAATTACAGGTCGTATTCAGATTAGTTCTCAGAGATGACAACGCTTTTGTCGCGTTCTTCGTTTGAGGTTGGTGGCAGATTTTCATGGCCTGAAGACGCTTACCTGACCCTTTAATAGTACACAAATAGCAGTACTTTCTTTTATGTAGGTTGTAGGAGACGCGCTGAGTTACTGCCCATTTGTACCAATAGGTGTACGTAGCACACGCAGTGCACGCGCTATCGTGCACAAATCGTGTATTCACTGCATGTGCGTGCGTGTGTGTGTGTGTGTGTGTGTGTGTGTGTGTGTGTGTGTGTGTGTGTGTGTGTGTGTGTGTGTGTGTGTGTGTGTGTGTGTGTGTGTGTGTGTGTGTGTGTGCGTGCGTATAGTGTGTATGCGTAGTGTATCCATGCATATATCCATCCAAACATTATTTAACATCATTCAAAATTTAATTGCAATTGCGTATAGTATTTATTAAATGATGACTGCGACTTCTCAAATTTCCTCAAATATTTAGTTAATAAACACGGCGCAACTAAAATGTTAGATTTATCAAGGAAAAATAACGACATTTATCTTACCTGCACATAGAACCTTTGGGAACTGATGAGGATCTTTCATATTGTTCTCAATAGGCAAGGATACCCCTATTCCTTCCATACTAAATACAACAATGCCACAGAACTCGAAGAAACCTAGAGCATCCTTCCATGCTGGCACAGTAGAAATGTTAGGCGCTACTCGAAGGCTGTATACAACTGTTGCTATCACACAGACTACTGTAAAACAGAAACAATAATAATTTTAATCGTTAAAAATTTTAATTTAATACTATGGTTTATAAAAAAGCAACAAAAGGGGAAAATCAGACGTGATAGTTAGGCGATGTCTGTTTCTATTATATATTTAAAATAAATGATGTGATCAAATTTTGACTCGACTAAGGTACTCGTATATATATATATATAATGCCATCAAAAACATAACTTGTAAAAAAAACCATGTCTCGCAACTCAGTTCTTCTACCGTAAAAAGTTGTGAGATCCATGTAATACCAATTTTTTTTTATAGGATAAGGGTGACAAACGAGCACACAGTCCAACTGATGGTAAGTGGTTGCTGCGGCCCATAGACGTCTACATCTATCCTCTATTACAAATCAAAATGTAGATGCGTTGTCACCCGTGAGGACTAAGATGGAATGCCTCATTTCCAGTAAAAAGGGCCTCCGGCCACCTGCACTCACCAAGCGAAACGCAGAAGCAAACCTCTACTTCACGCTGGTTTTCTGTGAGGTCGTGGTACCACCCCGGTTCGAGCCGGCCCATCCGTGCGACATGCTCTACCACTGGGTAAAGTCGGTTAATTTATTCAGTCCCTAGTTAAGGATCCTTCTGTCTTAAGTTGTTACGTAATTAGCTAACCTAACAACATCTTATAGTGACTATATCAATATTAAAAATCTTTTATGTTTTAAATAAATAAATTGACTTGCCAACTTATTACATACATACAGATATTTACTATTCTCCGCTTTTGTCGACGATTCCTTCAATCTACTTCAAGGTGTAAAATAATTTATAATTATATCTTTTTCACCCTCAATAGATCAGAGATTCCTAAAGTGGGTTCCGCGGAACCTAAGGATTCCGTGGAACAGTCACCAGGGTTCCGCGAAATTATTTATTTTTGTTACTTACTTAATGACAAATATTATCTTGTTGTTGGCGCAAAATATATGATGAGAAGAACCCATTACTGTTATATAGATACGTAGGTAGTTAGCGAGAATTAAATTATAAGATTACAGTTTCACTGTTTAAGATAAGGTTTATTTGATGTCTTGTTTGCTATTTTTTTCTTAATATATTAGTCATAGTATACAACTTTGGGTTTTTTTCCCTGTCCTCCTTCACGCACAATCCCTGACGGGGTAGCCAGAGAGAACAGATCGCCAAGTGTCACGATCTTTACATACCTCTCTCGCTTCTTTCAGATTCATTATCTTCTTCATACATGCACGTCTAAGTATCCAAGTACTCTTGACCCTCCCCTCTTCGAGCAATTTGCTCACATGGTCTTCGAAAGTTAGTCTCGGTCTACCTCGACACCTTTTAATATTTACTTTCGCGCTATATATTTTCTTCACCATTCGGTCTTCACTCATTCGCTCAACGTGCCCAAACCATAGGAGCACGCCCTTATCAATTATTGTGATAAGGTCATCTTTCAAACCTGCCATATTGCGAATCTCTTCTCTTCTGTCCTCCTAGTTTTGGTTTTATAGTACGGCAAAGCTTAAGGTAGCCATATTACACTCACGTACCTTACATGTTCTTTGCGGGATTCGAACCCGCGGCGCTTAGCTCTGCAACTCGTTACTAAGCCACTGCGCCACGTAATCGTCAGATGTCTTCAATTACGATATTAATATTACCGTTATCTAACGGATGCAATATAATCTTTCTGGAGTTTTGCACTTTGGCGCTTCTACTTATTGCTTTACGTGACATAATTATATATCTTACTATATTACGTGACATAAAAGATAGCAAATAGTATTTACTATGTGACGATTTGTCGTACTTACCAATGAATATATCACCTAACAGAGTAAAAGGCGCCAGATACTTCAAAGTTGTTATCATACAAAGCAGTAGAATGGGTATTAAAAGTGCGAGAATGTAAAGCCTCAATCGATCTATGTCCTCCCAAGACACCTCATATGTGCTCTCCACAAGTTGCTGAATAGTTTTTGCTATGATTATTTGATACACGCAACAAGCACCGAAGAGATCTATGCAAATGATCGCATCAACAGCGTACCTGAAAATACATAAAAGCGTTTTTTTTTACTTTTATTATCCTGTGTTCCTGAACTTTAAATGAATAGTTCTTGTATAGTATTAATTTATTTAATATTTATTGTACATCAAAATACCGGAAAATTAGTAGAATTCAAATAAATTGTAATCATCATTACTCATCGTTACAGCCCTTCACAAGTTCACTGCTGAAAATAGGCCACCCCCAAGGAATGCCACAAAGCACGGTCCTGAGCCACCTGCATCCATCGACTTCCTTCATGTCTCACCAGGTCGTCACTACATCTAGTGCGGGGATGCCACACACTTTGCCTGCCGGTACGAGCATGCCACTCGAGAACCTTTCTACCCCATCGGTTCGGTTCTTCGAGCTACATGGCCCGCGCAATGCCACTTCAGCTTACTAATCCGTTGGAATATGTCGGTTATTCTGTTTCTACTGCGGATATCCTCGTTTTTAAGTCTATAACGCAGATAAACTCATGATCATAGTGTTTAGGTCCTCCAACGATTATGCCATAAGGACTATATCGTCGGCAAATCGAAGGTCCATTGACGTTAATACAGCATCCTTTCCAGTCCAGTATGAATGAATGAATGAATATACTTTTATTGTACACCACGAACAAATATACAAATGACACAACAAAAATCAGATTATATTATGTACAATATGGCGGCCTTATCGCTACATAGCGATCTCTTCCAGGCAACCAAAGGTGTTAAGGAATAAAACAATGAATAGGTAGGTTTTAGGTGGTGCAATATAATTATACAACATATAATATCAATACATGCGATTTATTAATAATAAATGCAAAAAAAAACATATAAATAACTAATACATGAAATAATATAAATTACTAACAAATAATAAAAGATAAAGTAAAACATATAATATATACATGTACACGCCCCTAGCTGTCCCGACAAAGGTCGGTCACGCAGAGCCCATACAGTTGTAGACTCGACGGATAACTAAGGACGGGGCCGATGGCCATATGGAAGAAATACCCGACACAGTAAGGACAGTAGTTCAAAATTAGACATTCAATGTCCCGGATTCACTTATCACAAAATTATAAATAGGGAACTAACGCGATCTCTTAATGAGTCATACGGTTCAGCATTAAACACAACTAAGTTCCTTCATTCGACACCAAAACACCACGTCGCGAAAAGAATTCAAAATACGCCTCGTTGACACATAAACTAACAAACCAACCAACACACAAAAAAGGGCACTTAACGCGACGGCACAATTATAATGATTTCCAGACAATCAACCGGGAGACGCTCTCGACCAAGGAATGCGCGGTTCGAATCCTAGACCGTATATCTACTCGACGCGCGGGTGCACCATTCTGCATCACCCGAACAAGTTAAATATTGCAAAATTCACATATACATGTAGTGAAGTAACACGCACTAAATCTAACTATCTGGACCCTATACGGTCGCGTGAACTTCGGCCGCGATAACCTAGATACGCGGCTTCACCGCATCGCGGCCAGCGAACTACACTTCTTCGCCCACGCGTCGAGCCACTGCAAGCCGCACACGGCCGCCCCACCTGGCGGAGTTTTTTTCACCTACATACCATCGGGTGACGCGCCAGCTCGAACGCAATTGGATGGCGTTCAAAAATTACCCAATTTAGGCATAAAAATACATATACATACATATATATAAATATATAAACAAACTTACATATATCTACCCAAAATACATATATAAATTACAAAATTCCTCAAACAATAATATAAAGCTGATAGATACAATAAATACATAGTCACACAATTTATCCTAACGGTGTCCGAACGATTGAGATAAGTAATGCTCTTTAAGTAGTCGCTTAAAGATAACAGTAGTTTGTGATACTGCCACATTCGGTCTTCAGCTTCGACAGTTGGCTCTTTCTGGCAGACAGATCTCTGGCAAAGATTTTGGAGCCCTGGTACCGTTCGATCGTTTATTAAACATGACCTGTATTAAAGTTGCGTAAGTCCCGCCGCATGTATTTGGAGATCTGTCTGTTCAGTTGCCTGTATGCTGTTAAATCTGTAGAATACTGCAGTTTCATTTCCCGTTTAAAAGCCATGAGGTTAAGAGTGTGATCAGAAAGTTATTGTGTTCTTGAAGAACTTAGCTCCGACCGCAAGGACAGTATTCACGAGCTTGTCATTCATATCGTCCACTTCATTGCAGTCTTTTAGACCCTGAAAACGATTTTGTAACTCAAGCTGAAAGTTTTTGTGGCTTTGGATTAGAACTCGAGGGGGACGGAGCGTTGACTTCATTAGACGTGAACTCTCCAATTTAACGTTTAGGTTCAGCGTACCTCTCACCATTCAGTAGTCACTGCCAGTTTTCGCCCTCGCGATCACTGAACAGCTGCCGTCTAGTAGTCATAATCAAGTTAATCTTATGTTTTGTCAAACCGTCGAGGCCCGACCAGATCAACTTTCTGTGGGGCGGCTTCTGGAAGAAAGAGTTCATCATAAGGAGTCCCTCTTTCTCCATGAAGTCGGCCAGCTACTGGCGCCTTGGGTTTCGTTGCCCTTTTCCGAAGTTCATCGTTCTCTCTTTTGCCTAGTTTGGAGTTGAAGTCTCCCATTAAAACCGTATTGGTTTTGAAAGAATGCATGGCTCTAGAGATATCCTCATACATTTCCTTCACCTCCTTATCGGAATGTGCCGAGGTTGGTGCATAAACCTGTATGACATTTAGCGAATACCGTTTGGTAATTCTGAGTATAAAGTACGCAACCCTCGTCGACACACTCCCAATCTTTACAACGTTGTTAACGAGAGACTTGTAGATGACAATCCCGACACATTGGGATAGATGGTCGCCTTGCTAGTGATAAAATAAGTTGCCGGATTCGAAGATTACCGTGTCCTCCACCTCTCTTCGGATATCAGATAATCCTATAATATACCAGCGCAACTTGTCTATCTCTTCTGCCAGCTTCAGATCTTCTCGTCAGACCTCAGGGTGCGTACTTTATACGTTGCCAGGTCGAGTCGTCTAAGGCGGCAACCGAACGTCCAACGGAGATTCTTAGCACCCCCTGCCCCGCCGTTACCATGATCGCCACTGTAGCGGGGCCGCCGGGGACTGGGGACTATCTTCCTGTTACTCTCGTCAAGGGGGTTATATTGCCATAGTTACCAAGCTTGGTGAGCGGATTGGAAACCGCAGTTTTTTTTATTGTAGTTTGCTGTTATCAGAAAGATGTTGCTGCCCATCTTCTGTATCAGTTTCCTTCTACCACCTTTTACAACACCCACAGAAAGATATGGGGTAGTGGATATTCTTGCCCGTCGCTACACGGAAATATATGTATATGTAAATTATAATATGTATATGTATTTGTAATTGATATCTCGGAAACGGCTCTAATGATTTGGATGAAATTTTATGAGTGAGTTAGTTTGGTAAAGATGATTTTATAGGATAAGGGTGACAAACGAGCTCACAGTCCACCTGATGGTAAAAGGTTGCTGCGGCCCATAGACATCTACATCTATCCTAGATTACGAATTAAAATGCAGATGCGTTGTCACCCGTAAGGTGAACTAAGATGAAATGCCTCGTTTCCAGTAAAAAGGGTCTCCGGTTCTCTACACTCACCATATGAATTACAGCAGCGTTATGCTGCTATTTTAAGTTGGTATTCTGTGAGAGCGTGGTCCTTCCCCGGTTAAGTGCTACAACTATACTACTAATATAGCTGCTGCATGGCTCTACCTCTTAAGAAATCCTGAGCGAGTTTGGTCCTTACTCGTCATGCAATCATAATATAATAGTGAATCTCTACCACGTACCACGTGATTTCTCTAAACATATAGCGCTTACAGCGCTGAGGATGTGGTTAATCAACGCTAAAAATTACAGTTAACATGTAAAGCGGTTCATTGAGAATTTATTCATCAGCGGACTTGTGATGAGCTACAGTGATGACGAATATAATGATATTCTAAAATTCTAACTTACAAGTAAGTTTAACAACACAAATTTACTTAAAAAAATATACTCTACCATACCTTATGCTAATCACTATGAATTAATAAATGCGAACAATTTACAAGCTTTTCCACTTTACCTGAACCATTTGCTATATTTCCTTAATCTCGGGAATGGCCCGATTTCTAAAGACGCCTCCGCGACATCTGGGTAAGACATTTCCGGTAAATGTAGCCTCTTGTACAACGTTTGCGCTGATTTCACTAAAATCTAAAAAAAAGAAACGACTTTTTACAAGGCAATAACAATTTAGAAAAGAAATTGTTTTTTATTTAATTAAGGCACTTTCGTTATTTCTAACATGGCAATCCTAATTACCTTATATCTAAATTGCCCGAAATAATTGAATGAATTACTACGTAGTACAATATAGTGACTAAATGAAATTTACATTATTTTAGTTGCAATTGATAAAGGCTTGGAGACAATGATTTGATATTCACACATTTTCACATTTCACATCATCACATTTCATTTAGGCATTTGATGAAATATTTAAAGGTAATATTTTGATATTCACCTGTATTACATATTTTATATTACTTGTATTGATCAATGGTTTCCTCACGCGATGGTTCTGCGAGCAATTGTATATCCTCTATTGTTAACTTCCTTCTGCGTAGCATTGAAAGGAAGTTAATGGTTTTAGCTGGCAGTCTGTTAGTCTGTATGCCGACACGATAACTTCCGTTTGACTGAACCGATTGACTTTAAATTTGGTATGTGGATACCTTGAGGTAGTAGCTCGGTCAAGTTTGAATTTGGGTCCTGTAGGTCAAAGGGCACCAGAAATATGGGATTCACGCAGAAGGAAGTTGTTTTTCTTGAATTTACATTCAACTCGTTGTATATCCTATATTGTTCATGTTTCGCAATAACAAAATTGTTTCTTTTCTACTGACTTTAAACATGAGGAGATACACAATTCGATTGTATGTTTTTTTAATGACTTCCTCTTAACTTCTTTCGGGGTGAATCGATTTAGATGATTCTTGTGCTTCACACGTAGTCTCGTATAAATTTGATCAAGGTCTGACCAATAGTTTTTGAGTTATTCTTAATAATTTATATTGAAGTCGGTTGTACAAAATTTTTAATTTTAAATTATTGATAATGTAAGCGAAATTGTTGCACTGAATGTGTCCGTAACGAAATCAATAAATTCTTATTCACCAACGAATTCATTAACATTTTATTAACATTGTGATAATAATCATAATAATATTGTCTATTGGTTAAGTACATATTATGTGATGTAGTAATCTTGTGTATCTCTGGCTCTACGTCCAACACCAAACCTCCTGTCTCAATATCTAGTGGATAACAACTAGATGATGAGTGTTATTTCCTCTGGTTGGTATAGGAGTCCGTCTGGTTAACCCTCCTATATAGGTTATAGCTTCTGTGTTGCTTAAGAGCAGTGCTTGCACTACTGTGTTCCAGTCTGGAGGGTATATAGAGATCAGGCTGTGAGGTATTCCATCTTAGGGTGCTTTTCCACTAGATATGTGCTATGCTACGTTGCTATCCACCAATCATATTCATTAGTCCATATAGCTTAGCACTGGTGGGAACAGGCTCAACTAAGCTAGGTTTTTTATATGGATGGATGCGTGCTGTGAATGGTCGCGAGTGGTGTAGCTATGTGCAGAGCAGAGCTCCCCGTGCCTTCCCTATTGTCGAGGCATCGCGTAGCTGGAGCTGCGCATCTTCCTCGCACAGCTACAACGCGGCGGTGCATCTTCATAGCACATCTTACACGCCCCGCTACATAGCTTAGCATCAGTGGAAACGATCACATAATTTCATAGCTTTCCTTTCACATCGCCTCAGCATAGCTGTATAGCACATCTCTGGTGCAAAAGCACCCTTAGTCACAGGAGACAACGCATCTGTAGTCTGAATTGTTTCAAGCTGGTTCCAAGTATCCATGTAAGTTCTTTTATCACATCAGGTTTATAAAAAAATATTACCGTGCTAATTATATGTGCCTACATGTTTGCTAAAATAAAAAAGGCGCTCGCTCTTTAGTTTCTCATATTATAAGGTACCATATAGTAGTGATTACTGAAGAAAATGGATATGGAAATTCCATCAGCATATAAAAGTCCATTGCAAGACTTGAGCCTCTGCTGACGGTCGATGACGGACTGACGATCGCAATACCAGACGTCTCGCAACTATTGACGCCGCTGCCCGTCGTGGATCGGGTTATTTTACGTCTGGTGTAAACGAAATGATTATGGACCCATCTATCGGAAGCGATGAGTTCTTTACATTTCCTATAGTTGTCTCTTACGACATCCACGGGATGGATTCTCTTACGCTGACATTGCACGACGAAGAGTACTACTTATAAGAAAAATAGTAAATAAGCGGCCAAGTGCGAGTCGGACTCGCCCATGAAGGCTACCGTAGAGGCAAGTAACATAATTTACGATTTATGACGTTTAAAAAAAAACTACTTACTAGATCTCGTTTAAACTAATTTTCGGTGGAAGTTTACATAGTAATGTACATCATATATTTTTTTCAGTTTTATCATTCTCTTAATTTAGAAATTACAGAGGGGGACACACATTTTACAACTTTGGTCTCTAGCGCAAACTATTCAGTTTAGAAAAAAATAATAATATAAGGAACCTCAATATAATTTTTGAATCCCTATCCATAGATACCCCACATGTATGGGTTTGATGGAAAAAAAGTTTTTGAGTTTCAGTTAAGTATGAAGAACGTTAGAAGTTAAGTATTAAGTTAGAAGAACCCCCAAAATTTATTGTTTATTTTTTATTTTTGTGTGAAAATCTTAATGCGGTTCACAGAATACATCTACTAACCAACTTTCTACTGCATAGTTCTTATAGTTTCGGGAAAAAAGTGGCTGTGACATACGGACGGACAGACAGACAGACATGACGAATACATAAGGGTTCGTTTTTTGCCATTTGGCTACGGAACCCTAAAAAGTAAAAACGAAGTTAGTACGTGTCAGATATATACACTCTGGGATTGGAGCTAGGGAATTGCGATTATGTACCTATTGTTATTTTTTTATAGAATAAGGGTGACAAACGAGCACACAGGCACAGCACACCTGATAGTAAGTGGATGCTGTGGCCCATAGACATCTACATTAATCCTCGATTAAGAATCAAAATGCAAATGCGTTGTCACCCCTGAGGACTAAGATGGAGTGCCTCGTTTCCAGTAAAAAGGGTCTCCGATTCTCTACACTCACCATACGAAACGCAGCAGCATTAAGCTGCTATTTTACGCTGGTATTCTATGAGAGCGTCGACCGGGGTCGAGCCGATCCAATCGTGCTACAACCATAATATAGATGCAACATGCCTCTACCAAGTTTTATAAGTTACATATAGTAGACAAGAGTTTATAGTATTAGGTGGAAATATGGGTGATATAAATAAGTTCTAAGAAGATCTCTATTCTCGAACAGATAAAGTTGTTACCATCCATTGTAAGATGTATTGCTGAAATCGGAGACGGTTGCATTTTTCCATTTGAAACTAGTGACACTTTTCACAACAATATTAAGTATATGTATTAAGATAGCCGTAAATATTTAAACGAAAAATAAATATTTTTTCGTAAATACCGACAACTAGTCAAGGATAGATTCTATTATTTTCTGTAATATTATAATCATACGAATATCTCATAAATACGCAATGAACGATCGTTTCTTAACAGTTTCATTCATCATTCGTTTCATCCTATTAAAAGTACACTGCTGAGTATGGCCTCATCTATAAATTGCCTTACACTCTAATTATGAAGATGCTGCTCGTCTCTTGTTTTTTTTCCCCCCTGTCGCCCCCTACTATACTAACGGATGTTAGGAGTAATGGATTCTCTTGATAGTAATGGATCGAAACTACAAGGTACGACTTTTCACTGTGGTTAAAATAATTTAAAAGTGTTTATTATTTAAAAGCTTTTTACTTACACTCCTTCGTTATGTTAGTAACAAACACCAATGTCTGACGCAGAGTATGGAAGCTACTGTGCGACAGTAGTTGCCGATATGTCGGCGCTATATATCTATGCAGATGAATAAAATTGAAGTGTCTGTTTGTAATGTTAAAATAACAGCTTTTTACTACATGCATATGAATGTATATACGTTACTAATAACAAAAAACAATTTTTAATATTTTTGTCTGTCTGTCTGTCCGTCTGTCTGTTTGTTCCGGCTAATCTCCGAAACGGCTGGGTCAATTTTGACGGGACATTCACTGGCAGATATCTGATGTTATAAGGAGTAACTTAGGATGCTTTTATTTTAGAAAAACAATTAGGGTTCCGCGCAAAAAATTAAAACCCATGAAATCGTAATAAATTCCACGCGGGCGAAGTCGCGAGGAACAGCGAGTATATAATTAAAATTGAAGTGTCTGTCTGTAAAAACTGCCTTTTATTGAGTTAAGTTATTTGCATGTCATTGAGGCATAAATATCCAATCATTTAAATTTTTTTTTTTATTTAAAAAACGTTACCCCAATGTCTTACTGTCTGTCCGGGCTAAACTTTGGAATGGTTAAACCGATTTTAATGAAACTTCACGAACTGATAGAAAGCAATATCAAAAGTGATCTTGGCTATATTTTATCCGAATATATTATAGACTTAAAACATTTAAATGTAACAGTTTTTGATTTTTTTAATAACTGGCTTTACGGCTCTGGGTTCTAGCCCTTCTGAGCCTGAAGTTACAAAGTATAATAATCCTTCATAGTACATTGCTTCACAATATGTTGATGCGTCACATTGTGCAGCCCTTGGGAGATTTTGACGGCAACTTGAGCCAGTAGACAGCTGACAGTTGGCGATGGTATCTTAAGGCGCCTAAGCAAACAGACACCTTATCTTAAGAATCACATCACCATCAAAGCACCTGTTTCACCATTTTCACTAATAGTTCACATACGCAGACACTTAATACACAAAATCGCACCATTTTTACATATCAAATTCCATTTCAAACCATTATTTAAACAATAATACAGGAGCAGCAAACCGTCGCCGGTCAAGTTCCCGCCAAAACTCCTTGACTATATTTTATCCGAAAATATTATAGACTTAAAAACATTTAGATACGAGTATAACAGTTTTTGATTATTATACATCTAAATAACACATTAATAAATCCTACCCAGGCGAAGCCGGGGTGTGTTGCTAGTCTTTAATAAAACCATCTTGTATATTAGTGAAGGCTACTTACATGCACACAATATGTGATGTAAAATCCGAAGACAATTGTAACTATTAAAGACGTCCAAAGTCCACATTTCATGTACGCCTCGTGGATACCCAATATGCCTCCACCGAGACATCCTTTTATTAGGTGGCCCGTTGATTCTAGGGTACTGGATTTAAGCCATAAAATTATTAATAGCTTAGAGCATAATGATTCCTTATAGTTACGCAAAGACTACACATTAAATGAAACTAATTTTACGGATTCTATCGCGTTTAATTTTCGACAGTGGTAGAGCCACGCGGCAGCTTTTGCTGTCGCACGGATGGGCCGGCTCGAACCGGGGTAGTACGTAGTACCACGACCTCACAGAAAACCAGCGTGAAGTAGAGGTTTACCTCTGCGTTTCGCTTGGTGAGTGCAGGTGGCCGGAGGCCCTTTTTACTGGAAATGAGGCATTCCATCTTAGTCCTCACGGGTGACAACGCATCTACATTTTGATTTGTAACAGAGGATAGATGTAGATGTCTATGGGCCGCAGCAACCACTTACCATCAGGTGGACTGTGTGCTCGTTTGTTACCCTTATCCTATAAAAAAAATAACTTTTTAATTCCCGAAGTTTCGGGTGCTTTACACACTATACATGGTGCTTACATGGGTGCTGTAAAGCACCCGAAACATCGAGAATTAAAAAAATGAATTATACGCGATAGAATCCCTAAAATTAGTTTCATTTATCTTAGAGTATCTCAAGTGTATAAAATGTCTCATAAAAATATTTTATTTAGTTTCTAGAAGAGGCGGCAAACGCGCATGCGGTTCACTTATGTGGCCGCTCTAAACAACTGTGCAACGCTCTTAACAATAGCAGGCGGTGTCGGCCTTATAAAAAAAAATGAGTAGGCCGTGGCCGTTTCGTTTTTAGTTGTATAATATTTTTTATATGGTGACTAACGAGCAAACAGTCCACCTGATGGTAAGTGGTTGCTGTGACCCATAGACATCCACATCTATCCTCAATAAAAAATTAAAATTCAGATGCGTTGTCACCCGTGAAGACTAAGATAGAATGCCTCTTTTCCAGTAAAAAGGGTCTCCGGTTCTCTACACTCACCATACGAAACACAGCAGTGTTAAGCTGCTATTTTACGCTTGTATTCTGTGAGAACGTGGTCCTTCCCCGGTCGAGCCGATCCATTCGTGCTACAGGTATAGCTGTAGCATGGCTCTACCACGTAAGAAATATTATATTATTATATATTAAAATATTATACAAATCTTCTAAGTGCAAATCATACTTGTACAATTACTATGTATGTTCTATGTTTCATTTCAACTTTAATGCATCCAGGCTACATTGTTGGTCTAGTGGTCGTAAAGGCGACTTTTGATCATGAGGTCCCGGGTTCAAGTCCCGGGTACGGGTCAAAAAAAAACAGATTTTGGGTTTTCTGTCAAGATATTCTCATGAGTAGCTCGGAATCAGGAAGTTGGCGGTATTTCACCCCCGTGCCCATGCGAGAACATTTCAGTATCGCCCACGGCCGCCTCTAATGACATCCTTTAGATGAAATGGAATTCTCTTCAGTCGCCACAATATGACTAGGCTTTACTTAGGTATAATAATGATCATGATTAAAAAGAAATTGAACAACTATTTTAGTAATTAGAGAATGGTGAATAGATTTATTAAGCGTTATATATCAAAAGATATGTTTGAAAATATAAAACACTTTATTTGGATTGTCATGATGATCAATAAAAAGAATGTTGGCAGAATTCAATCGCCAAAAATCAAAATTCAACTTACTTGGTAGGCTTCACTGTACATCTGTGAGCTATGAAGTCATAAGGTTCCTTTTCTGAATATAGTAAATACTTTTTGCCGTTGGCATCCGGTGGTGGTTGCGGCGGTGGTTTTGGCGAAGGATCTTGAACGTCTTGTTGTGTTTGTGTATGGCTTACCTGGTAGGAAAGAAATGTGCATTAAACATAGTGAAACAAGTAAAGATACATCCTATACATGTCCCACTGATGGGCATACGCATCCTTACATTAATAAGAGCGATTAGTCCGTGCTGCTTCAGTGTGTGATGGCTGACTTCCATGTTCCAGAAATATTTTATTCCCAGAGATGCAGGTTTCCTCATGATTGTTATCTACTCCACCAAACACGTGGTAAATGAGCACAAAAATTGCTATAACCATTTTCATTGGTGCGGCTGAGAATCGAGCTACTGTGACCAGTTAACAACCTGAGTTATCGTTACCTCATAGATTCTCCTCTATGCCATAGTTGTCATATGCCTTGCCATAGCTTTAAATGGAGCCGGCACTCAATTCTGCTGTATGTTTTTTTTATGTGTGTTACCTTATAACTTTTTATTGGGTCAACAGATTTCGATGATTCTTATTTATTTGAAAGCTGGTGCTTCACGTGTAGTCTCATATAAATTTGAACAAGGTCTGACTAATAGTTTTTGAGTTATTTCGAATAATTTATATTGAAGTCGGTTGTACAAAATTTTTAATTATTATTATTTTTAGTTGTTATAAGGAACAGGCTGCTGCCCATCTCTTGGTTTGTTTCCCTCTGTCGCCTCACGAAATGGAATTCTTACACCACTATACGGTAAATACACCTGAGTACCGAGATAAATACCTCAAACGCTGTAATAGTACTGGCTCTGTTACGGATAGCTTGATGATTTGCTCACTCTGACTAAGATTCGAACGCAGAACTGGTAACCTTAGAACCAGGCCAGCTACTTCTTTTTATTCATCGGCTCCACATCGTTGTATTAGAGTAAAGTGGAGTATTTGCCTTAATCGTTACGCTTGGCAGGTGGATTGACGATCGAGGTGCCAAATGTTTCGGACCTCTGACGTTCCTGCCTATCGGCGATGGCACGCGAGGTGTTTCGCGTGTGGCGCGACGACAACGCCACCACATCACCGCCCTGCTCAGACCGGAGGTTGATAGTGCAGTCCGATTGCCGGTGCGTCCGTAATGCCGGTGGGGAATGCATGCGGTGTGCGTATGGGCAAGTGACGCCGGTGTGTAATGCATGCCATACTACGCACTTGCAAGTGATGCCGGTGAGAACGATGAGCCGGAGCAAGTGCCAGGGATTGCCTTGTAGTCTGCGGTGAGTCGAGAAGAAGGCAGAGGTAATCTGCGAGAGTGTCGTGAAGCAGAGGCGAGCAGTAAGGCTCAGAGCCGTGCCGAACACTGTAGCGCAGAGAGTAGCTTGAAGGAACAGGAAGCATTATTATTCCAGGCCTGCGATGGACCTTTGCAAAGCTAGATAGATGGCTTGTAGAATGTGAAGACTGCAGACAATATCTGCTCGGGAGCGAATGGTTGGGGTACTTGAGGATGATGACGAAGGTTTCGAAGTTGTAGTTTCCGAAGGTTCACCCGACGTGATGTGAACACGCAACCACCACTGTGGCGGTAGAAAGGAAAGGGGAGATCTCCCGCCGCGCAAGGTGTTCTGCCCGGGGAGAACAAAATTATATAGGGCCACATGACAACTAACAGCTTTCAAAAAAAATTATCACATGAAAAAAATACAGTCGAATTGAAAACCTCCTCCTTTTTTTTGAAGTCACGTTATTATATTAGTTATATTGATACATGACTTGATTGATGAATGACAAGCTCGTGGAAACTGTCCATGCGGTCGGAGCTAAGTTCTGCAAGACCCGCCGCAGAAGAACACAAAAATTCTCCGATCACACTCTTAATCTCATGGCTGTTAGACGGGAGATGAAGCTACATTCTTCAACAGACTTGACAGCATACAGGCATCTGAACAGACAGATCTCCAAATGCATGCGGCGGGACTTACGCAACTTCAATACAGCTCGTATTGAAGAAGCGATCGAGCGGAACCAAGGCTCCAAAGTCTTTGCCAGAGATCTGTCTGCCAGAAAGAGCCAACTGTCAAAGCTGAAGACAGAATGTGGCAGCATCGTTTCCGGGACACCTGAGATTTTGAGTGAGATTGAGAGGTTCTATGGGCAGCTGTACATGTCATCGTTTGAGCCACACGCAAGTGTGAGTAACGATCCAAGAGCGAGTCTCATCCGACACTATTCCGAAGATATCCCGGACGTCAGTCTGAGCGAGATTAGAATGGCTCTCCAGCACCTTAAAAACGGTAAGACCCCAGGCGAAGATGGAATTACAGCGGAGCTTCTGAAAGCGGGTGGAAGACCGGTACTTGAAGTCCTTCAGAAGCTCTTTAATTCCGTCCTCCATGGTGGCATTACACCGGAGGCGTGGAGCAGAAGTGCGGTGGTCTTGTTCTTCAAGAAAGGTGACAAAGCTCTCTTGAAGAACTACAGACCGATTTCCCTTCTGAGCCGCGTCTACGTGCTGTTTTCGAGAGTCATTACGAATCGTCTCGCGCGCACACTTGACGACTTCCAGCCTCCCGAACAAGCCGGTTTCCGAAAGGGCTTTAGTACCATAGACCACATACATACCCTTCGGCAAATTATACAGAAGTCCGAAGAGTACAATTTGCCACTATGTCTGGCATATGTGGACTATGAGAAAGCCTTTGATTCCGTTGAAATTTGGGCGGTGCTGCAGTCCCTTCAGCGGTGCCAAGTTGACTGTCGGTATATCGAAGTGTTGAAGTGCTTGTACAGTAGTGCTACGATGGCTATCAGAGTACAGAACCAGAGTACGAAACCTATCCAATTGCAGAGAGGTGTAAGACAGGGTGACGTCATATCCCCGAAACTCTTCACCGCTGCATTGGAAGACGTTTTCAAGCTTCTGGACTGGAAAGGATACGGTATCAACATCAATGGCGAGTACATCACTCACCTTCGATTTGCCGACGATATAGTCCTTATGGCAGAATCGCTGGAGGACCTAAGCACTATGCTCAATGACCTCGATAGTGTTTCCCAACGGATAGGTCTTAAGATGAACATGGACAAAACAAAGATCATGTTTAATGTCCATGTCACACCTATGCCGGTAGTTGTTGGAAGCACTAAGCTCGAAGTTGTTGACGAGTATGTTTACCTGGGACAAATAGTCCGACTAGGTAAGTCCAACTTCGACCGAGAGGTCAATCGACGGATTCAACTCGGCTGGGCAGCGTTCGGGAAGCTACGACACATCTTCTCGTCAGACATACCTCAAAACCTGAAAACGAAATTGTACAACCAGTGCGTGTTGCCAGTGATGACTTATGGAACTGAGACGTGGTCCTTCACTGCTGGCCGTATGAGGAAGCTCAAGGTCGCTCAGCGAGCTATGGAGAGGGCTATGCTCGGAGTTTTTCTGCGTGATAAACTTAGGAATGAGGATATCCGCAGTAGAACCAGAGTAACCGACATAGCCCAACGGATTAGTAAGCTGAAGGGGCAGTGGGCCGGCCATATAGCTCGAAGAACCGACAACCGATGGGGAAGAAAGGTTCTCGAGTGGCAGCCTCGTACCGGTAGGCGAAGTGTAGGGCATCCCCCCACGAGATGGAGTGACGACCTGGTAAGACATGCAGGAAGTCGATGGATGCAGGTGGCTCAGGACCGTGCTTTGTGGCATTCTTTGGGGGAGGCCTATGTTCAGCAGTGGACTTGTGAAGGGCTGTAATGATGATGATGATGATTGATACATAGTTCATAGTTTTTTTAGCTCAACATAACGTTACCCCAATTAAGGTATTTTTTATTTTGTTCCCTCAGAAAGGAGTAGAATACGTTTGAATTGTGGAAATTTGAAAATTTTCATTTTCAGTTCGATAAAAAAGTTTCCAGGAACAATAACGCGTTAGTTTGCACATTTCATCAAAAGGCCTTTATTTATCTTCACTTGTGGATTCGTTAGTTGTTCAAGGTTTGTTAGAAAACAATTGTGCGATTACATTTTTGGCTATATTAAAATATTTATTTCATACATTGTTAATATGGTATGGACTGTATGGTCTAGCCCACGCAATATTTAAATTCAATATTGATTATTACATAATACTTATTAAAAGTCATTTTTTATTTACCACTGTTTCGGAAAATACCTCTGTCCTGGGAAGAACCAGCAAGAAACCCAGCGGGACTTTTTTTAAACATATTTCACTTAACAATAATTTTGTTTAAGCCGATATTACACGGATCAATTTCGGTTCAATACTGATTTCAATTTCATTGCTTCAATGGCATTGAGACATCTAAATACATTTCAATGCGATTGTGCCATCTCATTGAAAGTTTAAATTCACCGAAAGCTTTCAATGCAATGATAGCAATATTGTCATTGTTCAATGCTATTGAAACGTGTATACATGAAGATTGAACGGTGACTCATTCAGAGCACCGCACGACACCTATTTAGCGTGCGCACATGGATTTTCGAAAATTATTTTCAAGTGGCGTGAAAATGGATTTTAAGAAGTTTATTATTATATTGATTTTTTGTCATTCGCAATTATTGGTTCAAATAAGAATTTGGATCTTCTTCGGCCAATTCTACTAATAAGGTGCTTGAAGCTCCTTTAATTATCCTTCACGAAATCCACGGCCGCACCCACCAACGCCGCGATTTTCTTTTTTTTTTATTATTTAACTCATTTACAGATTAACGAAAATTCCGCACGTACGATTTGGCGCGACATATCATTGCGCTGTGAACATTGAATGTCATTTAAATGATTTACGTGTATATTGGTAAACCCGCTCAATGTGCAATGTTCAATGCTTTTCAATGGAATTGTTTCAATTTGGTTGATCCGTGTAATATCGGCTTTATACAATATTTATATGAATTTTCATTGAACCAGCATGTTGGCGATAACCTTATTTGTAGTTAGAATTAGAGTACCTGTCTTGTACGTTATGGGTCATGGGTGCAAATCCATATGAAGAAAACAAACAGGAGATAGGCAGAAACGTCTTCCTAATAACAAGCGTGGCAACTATGGCAAATATCCTTATAAGGTAATCTT